ACTCCACTACTGGAATTAGATTCCAGTACAAAGCAGTAAACTGGCTAACTCTCGTATAGCCAATCTCCTACTACCGAATGATGAGACTCTAGGAACCTAATCAGGAAAAGTTGATCAGACTTCAATTGACTCAATAAACATGCATCATTCGATTAAAATCAAACAGTAATATCATCCCAAGTCATTACAATCAATCCCTAACACATAGAACTAGGGTTCTTCATCCCCAAGTGAGAGAGAGGTTCTACTCCATAGAGAGAGAGAGGAAAACAAGGTACAAAGCAGTCATACTCATTACAATGGGAAGAATCTGCTCTGGGATGATGATTTCCACTCCTATGACGATCTCCAAGCTCGATTTGATGAAACCCAGCTCCAAGATAGCTTCTAGGATGTGTTCTTCGTCCTTTCTCTCTCTAGGGCTCTGTTTTTGCTCAAAAAGTCCGATCCTCCCTCTTTTGGCTCGAAATTGGCTGAAAAACCAAGATTTCCCGACTCACACGGGCAGGCCACACGGCCGTGTGGCTCACCCAGTTGCCCGTGTGAGTCAAAAGACGGCGTATCATTAAGTAGAAATTCAGGCTTCCCACACGGCCAGGGTCGCACGGCCAGGGTCGCACGGCCGTGTGGGATTTCCATCATGCCCGTGTTTGCTCTCGGCGAAAATCACACGGCCACAAATGTGAGTTGCACGGCCGTGTGATGTCCAAGAATGCCCGTGCGGCTTCCTTAGCACCTCGCCACGCGTCCGATCTTCGTCCAATCGACCCCAAACTCGCTCCCAAGCCTCCATTCACGTACTAGGACCTGAAATATCACAAACAAGCACAACCTAGCGTGAAATCGGCCTAAAACACGAGAATCAACACCTGAAACGGTGTAAGAACAGGGGTAAAAACATGTGTAATTAACGGTCTATCACCCTCGTTCCCGATCTTCATTTCACGGTAACATTTTTCACCTTCCCTCTGCTCCATTGAGGACACTGTCGCATTTAAGAGTGTGTGTTGGGGGGGGGGGGGGGCTTTGTCTTTATTGGAACATATTTTTGTGTGCTTGGGGCCTAGTCCACTGTCCAAATCTTAAGATTTGAGGGCTCCAAGTACTGATGTATGCATGATCATATTGGCATTGTGGTTTAATTGGTGTGTCGAATGGCTGCTAGAATTGATGTATGACAACTCGATTGTAACTAGGACAACCTATAATGATGACTGAGACATGCAGTAGAATTGTGTAGGGGTTCAGTTTTTCAACTGTTTGCTTACCAACTGGGACTTGGATTGATCACTTGCTCTTGACAGTCATTTATGCATCTAGTTCAGGGAATCAAAATGAGAGATAGAGCATATAGGTAGCCATGTGAGATTTGAACCTGCTCGTTTCTTTCTTGTGCGATAGATCCCTCTTCCATGATGTGTAGCATTCACTTTGTCATTAGCTAAGATGATGGAGGCATAGGAATAACCCACGAACAAATTGATTGTCCTGGTGTGTCATACCCCCTAGTCAGCCCCTTTGAGCCGTGTCACTTTCTTTCTTTCGGTCTACAATGAAAAATCACCCTTTTGCATCTCTTAGAGGTTCCACAGAGTGGTTTTTGCATGTCCTCTGCTGTTTCTGCTACGTATAATGTGAGGGTTGGAGTCAGTTGTTAAAAGTTGGGCATGTGTTTGAAAAATGTGCAGAGGTGGTGGTTCTCTCAAGGAAAAAAAAAACAGAAAAGAAAAAAAAAAGAATGAAAGCTAAAGAGAGCCACTACCAAAAATCTGAATCATGCTCATTAAGTAGTGTTTCTTAGCATCTGGCTTGGAAATACTAACATTATTGTGACCTCTTTCGCTCTTGTGCTCTAAAGAATTTGAGTAATGCAAAATAGCAGAAAGAAAGTAAATGGTTTGATTGGCTGTGAAAGTGTTGGGTTTGGAGCTGTGGAACCTTGTGCTATGAATACTTCCACCACCTAAAAGGCTTTTTCACCATGTCCAAGACCCTAGTCAGTCATTTGAGCCTGTGTCTAAGACCTCCGAATTAGTTAGTGATGACACCCAATATGTGAACTCTAACATTTAGAGGTTGCCGTCATGGTGAAGAGACGTTAAGGATTGAGATAATAGGCATGCACATTTTTCGCATCAAATTGTCCTGACTCCACTGGTCGAGAGTGAGTGATTCATTTCCTTGTTCTTTACACTCTTTGCCCCGGTGAGGACCTAGATGGCTCGGTCTTGATTCTGATGTCTTGAGTTTGATGCATGCAATGACTGTCTTAGATAAGTGATTGAGTCGAGTCTATGTTGATTGGTGAACAGAAAGGGAGACTTTTCCTTTACCCGATTTTGCTGCACTCGAATGTCCTCTGTGGTGGTTGTCCAGGTTGCTGTTGAAGTTGTCCACGTGTTAATGATCAAGAGCTAGTATGATTCATGTGTTTTGTGCTAGTATGATTTGTCCCCAAAGGGTGCATGGTTAAAATGTTGTGAGCTTACCTGGTATGTGACTTGGTTTGCTTAGGGAAAAGCAAACGGTTAAGTGTGGGAGAATTTGATAGCGTCGTATTTGCACATGTTTGCACCCCTGTCTCCTGACCGTTTTAGCTCGAATTTGTGGTTCTTTGGTCTATTTTAGACTAGGTTGTGTTGTTTTGTCATATCTTAGGTCCTAGCGAGTAAAGGGAGGCATAGGCCCAAGTTTCGGGTCGTTTGGTGAGGCTGGAGCCAAAACACGGGTAGCCCTGACAGAAACACGGTCTTGTTCCTCATGTCGTGTTTTTACTGCCGAGAGCATGTCTGAGAGGGCTGCTGAGGGACTAAAACACGCGAGACATGGAGGAAAAACATGGTCGTGTCACTTATGGAGCACAACCGTGTTTTGGGAGCAACACGGGCGTGCCTGCCTTGATTGGAGCAAAACACGGCCGTGTCCTCGACCGTGTTTTGCCCAGAAGCGGGTTTTTGAGGCAGATCCGAACCAAAGGAGAAAGGGACACGACTTTTTGAGGAGAAAACAGAGTTTTAGAGAGAGAGAGAGAGTGCGAAGAACAAACCCTAGGAGCTATTTGAGTGGATTTCTCACCATTGAAGCCCAGATTGCATCCCCAGGAGTGAAGATCGACATCCTAGAGCAGATTATCCCCATCCTTATGAGTATGACTGCTCTGATTTTAGTTTTCCTCTCTCTCTCTCTCTCTCTCTCTCTCTCTCTCTCTATGGAGTAGAACCCTCTCTCACTTGGGTATGAAGAACCCTAGTTCCATGTGTTAGGAATCTTGATTGTAATGACTTTGGATTGATATAATGATTGATTATAATCGATTGATCTATGATTCATTGAGTCAATTGAAGCCTGATCATCTTTTCTTGATTTCTGCTGCAACCGGAGATAGATAGAATCTGATTAGGTTGTTAGAACTTCATCAATCGGTAGTAGTAAGTTGGTTATACAAGAGTTAATTGATTTAATGCTTTGTACTGGAATCCAATTCCAGTAGTGGAGTTCTGTGTTTATTGCCTCAATAGTCTATCCCGGCGAAGGCTAGTCGCCTGCCGGTTAGTCTGTCTGAGAGGGCTTGGTCAGCTTAAGAGATTCCAAACTACTGTCGGATCTTCCGCTGTTTAATCAACAGTAAATTAACCAAGGGTAATTACAATTTTGACCTAACTAAGGAGCTAGGGGGACTCATTCCCGATTGACTCTTCCCCTGCTTAAGAACTTCAAACCATTTCTTGCTTTCTTACTGCTTTTGCTTAAAACCACATTCAATCAACTTAGCTTGCTAGAGAATAAATCATCACGGAGTAGGCAGTAGATCTAGACCCCGGATTGATAAATAGAACTTGCCACTTTACTGCATTTCCGGACTGCGATTACACTTGGTCGTAGTTTGGTGTTGTGTTTTAGCGTGTCAGTGGTGGAGCATCATTCAACCACTATAAATGTTTCAGTACACAATAATGACTTCTCTAGAATTCGATCCAACTTATTATTAACACAAACCTCTATAAATAACCATATACGTTGTTAGTTTTCCGTCTAAAAATCATGTAAATAGTCTCTAATGGCTTTGGAGCTTGTTGAAGAAGCAAATACGTCGAAACATTAAAGGTACTTGTCCGTGCAATACTAGTAGATTACCAGGTCGACCACACCGGTTGTCCAATTGATATTTCTGGTGCAATCCCAAGGTTTATCGTGTTTAGATCACTCTTCGTGGTTTTGGCTTGAGGTATGAAGATATTCTTTTCCCTAATCGGCCAAACTTTAATGACGCGGTTGAACAGTTTATTTCTGAATATCAAAGTACATTGTTTAGGGTCGGCTTCTATTGATCTTTTTATCATCATGTCGACCACATGATCCTAGCGGTACGTCGAGCTCAGAGTGATAACCGTTGACCGCATAATCATAACGGTGGACCACTTCTCTCGTTTCAACAAGATATACATGTTGTTCGGTTGACCTTTTTTGAAAGTACTCGATCATTTGTTGAAAATTACCGACTATTTTCTCCAAATCGTAATGAGTTAGAAGTCAGCATTCCCTTACGTTTTATGAGTTTGAACTTGTTTACTCCTTAGGAACAATTGTGTCATTTGTCTGAAGGTATTAGTCTGGGCCATATGGATATTGGTCTGTCACAATAAGGATATTATTCTACACAAAGACGAATATTTATCTGGGAGGTTACAATATATTTTTCAATTAGAGCTTACGTTGGTAATTATATCCAACATCTGGCAAAATATCCTCCATCCTGCTACAACCCATCATCCATCCCTAAATATTATCCAACCCTAAATAGCATCCATCCCTGAATATTATACAACCCTAAGTTCAGTTTTACAAACCATCCAACACACTACACAAATCTAAAATCAACTTCTCTTTCCTTTCCATTTCTCTTTCTCTTTCTACGTATTCCAATATTTTGCACATTGAATTATTGCATCCTTGTGGCCGTTATTGTGCCATAAAAGGAGGTTAGCTGCAATCCGTGCTCGTTATTCCTCCACATGTGGCTGCTTGTGCCAACTTGTTTTATATTCCACTGGAAGGTGACCCGCCCATAGCTCCATGTAAAGGCATGCAAATACACCGCAATCATCGTTGCCAAATTGTTGAGGAACGTCGGCAATGTTGAATTCCCACTCATCCAATGTACAATCGACCCCCTTCTCTTTGAGGAACGCTGCCGCATACTCAAAAATCATTTTACCCACTGGTCCATGATCCTCCTTAGCCACTCGGGCATTGGGCTTTTGGCTGTCGAGTAGGAAAGTCTTCCTATTCTTCATGTCCCGGTAGTGATCATTTAGATACATTGGAAAGAAGATATGAAACACAAAGCAGTTATTGAGTTAATCATTGACTAATATCCTAATAACCCAGATTAATATCTCAACAACCCAGAATAATATCTATAAACAAGACTAATATCACATAAAATTATATTAATATCCTAACAACCCAGAATGATATATCCTATCAACCCAGACCAATATCAAGGAAAATCGGGGAAGAAATTCCAAACATTGAAGACACTTATGTAATCACATATTTCCAAGTTTTTCCGTTTCAGCAATGGATTCCTTTTGTGCATATAAATATACGCTGAGACTCTCGCTTTGTCCATGGGTTATTTTTTTATAGCATTATTGACGGCATGTTGCTATTTAGAAGAGAAAACAATATCAAATTAGACATTTTCAATATAAATAGTTAATACTTACTAAATAGCTCCATGGGAAGACGATTCTCTTCACCACCTCATTACGTACTTCTTTGTCATTTAGGAATTGCCCGTATACTACAAGTACTTGACAATGCACCCAACTTTTACGCTTCAATGAAATTAGATGGAAACGGGTAAGCTTGCTCTTTGGATTTTTCACTAAATAGTTGCCACTGTAAAACACAAATGAAAACCGGGTTAGTAATGTGTGTTGGAGATATTGAAATTGGCGATTAAATAGAAACGTGAAAACTTACTCGTCTTTAGCTATGGTACTGAAGATTAACTCAACCACTTGCAGAGCCGGAACGTCGAGAGAGTCTTTGTCAAAATGTACACTGATGAGTCGAATGGGTGGTGTTTTGACCTCTCGAATGTAGGAGTTTTTAGCCTTGTCTTCCATGCTTCTGGTGTGATAGAGTACAAAAACTCCGCCTCCTCTTCAGTCCTAGCCCTCTCACTTATGATAATATCATTGTCGCTATCCTCCATCCTCTCACATGCTGCTGCTATAAGCTCCTCCTCTGATGGTCCTGCTTCTTCTTGCGTCAGAACCTCAGTAGAAGGATCGACCACCGTAGTCGGAGATATTGTGATACTCTCCTGGCAGCCAAGGCTAGTATCCACAGAAAAAGAAACAAATATCCTAGAAGCCCAGGCTAGTATCCACAGAAAAAGAAATGAATATCCTGGCAACCCAGGCTAGTATCTACAGAAAAAGAAATGAATATCTTGGCAAACCAGGCTAGTATCTTCGAAACAAGAAAAGAAGAAACTGGAAGCCCATGCTAGTATCTAATGGTAAATGAAATATTACCGTAGTCGGAGATGTCCCGATACTCTCTTCAGCAGCAGCAGTGGTATGCATACCAATATGCATCACATCATCAAATGTTGTATCCGGGTCGGTATAATGTATGACCATAGGCTGGACAATTGACTCCGAATCCACCACTGCATCCACAATCGTCTGCATGACTGGCTCCCCCATCTCCTTAAGTGGATCAACAACTATATCCATCACCTCGAGAACAGTTGTCTCCAACTTCACCACTTCATCAACAGTCGTCTGCACGGCTAGCTCCCCCATCTCCTTAAGTGGATCAACAACAGTATCCATCACCTCGAGAACAGTCGACGCAACCACTATATCCACCATCTCCTGAACAACAGGCAACACTGTCTTCTCACGTATTATTCGGGAGTACACGCGGCTGAACATGTTCTTGCCTTTCACGTATCCCTCCTTTTCCTTCTTCGCTTTGGTTACAGATACCAACGTCGAAGACAATTTTGCCAATCTGCTCCTTTTCCTTTGTTTTGGTCGCTGAAAAAACATGTGCAAATTAAAATATTATCCAAACTGCAAGGGCAATATCCAATCATGAAGCACAAAGTAGTATCTAACCCTGAAGTAGTTATTATCCAGTGCATTTATTTCAGTATCCATGGCTAGCAAACTCAATATCCAGTGCATTCATTTCAATATCCATGGCTAGTAGACTAAATATCCACTGCATTCATTTCAATATCCAGAACCGCCAATACATACCAATAACTGAAATGAAAATCAAACAAACTTTTGTTCCAACATGGCAATTATAACATCCTAACAAGAAACATTACAAGCACTTAAACAGAAGAGAATTGCTAAGTTCATTGGTTTTCTTGCTGCCTCTTGATGATGACTCTCCGAACACTTTCCCGCCTTGAATCCCAATTATCCATAACTTTTTTAGTCAAGGACTCCAATGCCTCAAGCTACACATATAATGAAAAAATATTTAGTTCACTACATGCACCCATGTCTACTAACCCATGATTTTGAGTTGCAAAGAGAAGATCTACATACCTCATTGTCCTCAAGGGTTTCCAGGTCAATTTCCTCCCACAAATGAGTTGAGTAGAACTGCGGATAAGATGTAGGAGGAGCCGAGCTGCTTGATCCGGATTCCCAATCCTTCCTGACACATTCTGGACGAAAGCGAGATCTAACTTCTTCCCTTGACAACATGGGACCCAGAATATATTCGAGCACACCTTATCCACCCTTGGGTCGAACCAATAGGTGCAGGCCGGGATGGTTTTTGTGGCAAACCCTCTCACATTAAGGAAGTCTAGCAAATGTATCTACAAAAAAGCGTTCAAAACAGATATCATGAATGAAAATAACTACTATCCCAGGAATGGTTATTAATATCACAAGCATTCAAAACAAATATCAGGAATGAAAAGAACTACTATCCCAAGAATGGTTATTAATATTACAAGCATTCAAAACAGATATCACGAATGAAAATAACTATTATCCTACGCATGGTTATAATATCACAGGCATTCAAAACAGATATAAGCAATGAAAAGAACTACTATCCTAAGCATGGTTATTAATATCACAGGCATTAAAAAACAGATATCAGGAATGAAAAGAACTACTATCCTAAGCATGCTGATTATTATCCCTAGAATGTTAACTAATATCAAGCATCAAATAAACAATATCAACAATGTTAAAGGAGAAGTTACCATCAAGAAGTGGATATCTCCGAGAGGCCATTGCTGTTTCCCACCCGCGCTAGATTCAGCTTCGTTTCCTTAACCTGACACAACTCAAACTTCATATTACGGGCAACAAAACCAATCCAATTAAAAATTGCAATGTCCTCCACCCTTCCAACCAGGTACTCTACATAATCGAGATCACAAAGTCGTGACATCTTTGGGACGAGCATCGAACCAATAGTCAACAACAAAAATTGCTTCACTGCGGCTGCAACAGGTGGTCTCCTTTTTAGTGCATCATCTAGACCACCACAGGTTGCCTCTCTAAGACCCATAACTTGGACATTTCGACTACGATTACACTCAATGTTGAGCTCCTCCTTGAACATCTCAAGCATCTTGTCGTTAGATTTGACGACATCAATCTCAGCACCACAAATAGGAAGGTCGTATACACGAGCAACATCCTCAGCTTCGATGGTAAGAACCTTCTTGTTCTCCCCTTCATCGAAAATGAATGAATTGGCGCGCAAGTCGTACTATGGCATAAAGGAATCAAACAAATTCTCATGAACATTTGCTAGTCGAAACTCCAATAGCCCTCCAAATCCATCCTTCTCGGCCTCTTTCTTGCATGCTTCATAGTACCTTGGCTCTTCCTTCCAGTATTTTATTACATCTAGCAGAGATTTGGTGTGGCACCGAAATCTGTACCATAACTTGCCTTGTAAGAATGTTAACTCCTTGTGAAGCTCGTTGCTCATCGACTTCAACATCTTCTTCTTCCTCATCTTTCTCTCGCAATGGCGGTGGATTTCGTCGCGATCTCTTTGCGATCATTTTAGTTCTTACCATTGATAAATCCCTGCACAGACCAATATCCAGATATATCAAACAATTATCCAGGCAAGTCACAACTGATATCATGCTCGAACAAAACCAATATCAATGTAGGAATATCTAGATCCTATCAAACAACTATCCAGGCAAGTCACAGCTGATATCATGCCAGAACAAAACCAATATCAATGTAAGAATATCCAGATCCTATCAAACAACTATCCAGGCAAGTCACAACTGATATAATGCTCGACCAAAACCAATATCAAGATTTATCAAAACAATCCAAGCAAAACACAACGGATATCTAGAATCAAAAGAACTAATATCCTACCCGAACAGAACTAATATCAAAACGTACACAAGACATTTTATAACATTTAGCAGAGATTTAGTGTGACACCAAAATCTGTACCTCGGCTTGCATCGACCTCGAGCTGCTCCTTGTGCAGCTCCTTGTGCTTCGACTTCAACATCTTCTTCTTCCTCATCTTCCTATGGCAGTGGCGATGGTTGTGGCGGTGGTGGAGTCGGTGGCGGTCTCCTTGTGCTTGTTTTAGTTCTTGCCATTGATAAATCCCTGCACAGACAATTACCCAGATCCTATCAAACAACTATCCAGGCAAGTCACAACTGATATCATGCTCGAACAAAACCAATATCAAGATATATCAAAATTAATATCCTGCCGATCAGAACTAATATCGGAACAAACACAAAGCAATTCCACAAAATCCAGAAATAAAATCCACAACAGAACGAACTCATATCCCGTCAAATCTAAGTTACTAGAAAACAAATACTTCACCCACGAACCCAAAAGACAAATCCACAAAAGAACGAACTCAGATCCAGTCAAATCTAAGTTACCAGAAAACAAATACTTAACCCACAAACCCAAAAGACAAATCCACAAAAGGAAAATCCAGATCAAATCGAACCATGCAACCCTACCTCAAATCTGTCCAAACGAAAATGAATATCCATGAACAAAGGATAAATAAGACAGTTACCTCTGTCCACGAAGTAGTTCTTTCTTCAACGACCGCCGTCAAACCAACCGGCGCTGCTTCGTCGCTGTGAAACCCCGCCCTTCGTCGCCGTCGCTACGTCTGCAACGTCGCCGCCGTCAAAACAAGCATGTCGCCACCATCGCTTCGTTGCACCATCGCCGCCACTTCGCTGCACCGTCACCACCGCTTCGTCTGCTTGGTTGCTGCTTTGTCTGCGTTCGGGAGAGGAGGAAAGGTAGAGGGAAAAGTTTTGCTTTTTGGAGAGATAGAGGGGAAAAAGCGACTAGCGGAGAAACTGAACAGCGGTAGGGTTTTGGGTAAAAATTCTTTTGGGTTTTTGAATTTTTGGGCCTAGCGGGCCCTGCTTTCCTTCTTGGGCCAGCCAATACACTCGGCTCTCCTCCCCACAAGCCGGCACCCGTCTGTGACTCGCCCTCGTGGACATCCAATACGCCGTGTGAGTATATACTCACAGTTTCTGTTGTAAGCAGCATAACTAAATTGAATGCAATATGGCCATGGTCGATCTCCTTCCTCTCCCCACCAATCCCATCCGCAAGGTTTCCCACCGAAAAATCCTCCCCACAACCCGCTCTCCCGCTCTAATCTCTCCATCCCACCATCACAATCACCAAGCCCGGGATCTATGGCACTCAAGCTTCCTCTAAGTTGTCCAAAATCCCCATCAGGAACTGCATCGAGATCGATCTCCTCAGAAAGCACCTCGAAAGTCAGGTCCGATGCAGTCAAGACCGCTGCTGTCGTCGTCGTGTGTAACTCCTGGTCTGGTAATCTTGGCAGTGGTTGAGAATCAGAGAAGAATTCGTCAAGAACAGAGGGAAGAGTAAAGGTCGAGAGAGAAGAGGGAGAGAGAAGAGAGAGAGAATTTGGGGAAATTGTTATTATTCTATTTCTTAAGGAATCGTTGATTCTGGCGGGTTATTAATCCCTTGTACAATTACCACAATCATCCTCCAAGTTCTACTGCTATACAGTTGAGTCCGATTGTTACAACTCCCCTCCCCTTAAGCAGAGACTTGTCCTCAAGTCTCACAATCTGGAAATCTTGCCCGGAACTCGTCCAAAAATTCCCAGGTGGCATCTTCTTCAGTCTGATGTGTCCACTGAACCAACACTTGCGTTGCGGCCTGATTATTCCTGGCGACAAAACGTCGAGCAAGAATCGCAGCTGGGGCAATCTTCAAGCCGCCTGACTCATCCATCTCCGGCAGAGCGGGCTGCGTCGCAATCTGTTGACCACGAGCACGTTTGAGAAGTGACACATGAAACACCGGGTGAATAACAGAACCCGGTGGCAGTTGCAATTTGTAGGCGACGGCTCCAATCTTCTGTAAGATTTTGAACGGCCCATAGAACTTCGCTGCCAGTTTCTGATTAGCCCGAGCGGACACACTGGTCTATCTATAAGGACGCAGCTTCAAGTAGACAAGCTCTCCCACCTGAAAAGTGCGCTCCGATCGATGCATATCGGCCATTTGTTTTTGCCGGTTCTGCGCCTTTGCCAAATTCTCTCGCAGAATGCCAACAAGCCGCTGCTGCTGCTGCAATCGATCTGCCACTGCTGCAACTGAAGTGGACAGGGGATTGGTGATTGCGAACTGACCTGGGGTATAACCATAAAGAGCCTCGAATGGTGTTAGTTGCAAGCTATGGTGATAATTGGTGTTGTACCACCATTCGGCCAAAGTCAACCAAGCTGCCCACGCCTGAGGAGTATGATGAATCATGCCACGAAGATACTCCTCCAAACACCTGTTCAAGCGTTCTGTCTGACCATCGGTTTGCGGATGGTAGGCTGTTGAATAGTGCAGCTTAACCCCCTGAAGTTCAAATAACTTCGACCAGAAAACACTAGTAAAGACCGAGTCCCTGTCCGACACGATGGTTTGAGGCATCCCATGGAGTTTAAAAACACCATCAAAGAAAGTTTGTGCAACTGAATGGGCTGAATAAGGTTTGGAGAGGCTGAAGAAGTGCCCGTATTTGGAAAACCGATCGATTACCACCAAAATGACTTCCTTCCCCTGTGACTTGGGTAACCCTTCAACGAAGTCTAAGGAGATGTGTTGCCAAGCCTCGTCGGGTATGGGCAGGGGCTGAAGTAAACCCGGGTAAGGAATGTTTTCGGTCTTGCAGCGCTGGCAGATATCACAACTACCGACGAACTGTTGAACGTCACGTTTGACCCCTGGGCACCAAAAGTAACGCTTAAGGCGCTGAAAAGTGGCTTGAACACCTGAATGACCCCCTACTGGCGAGTCATGAAACAGCCCCATTAATGACTCACGCATGGTTCCCACTGATCCCACATATATCAAGTTTTTGTAATATAGCAATCCTTGTTGCACAGTGTATAGACGAGGGCCAATAAAGGGAATAGAAGCTTCAGTAATCAAAGGTTGAACCACCTGATCCCCCACATATGTCTCCTCTAATTCAGACAACCAAGCCGGAAGGACTGCCGTCACCGCCTTACAACTTCCCTGTGCAGAAAAATCTGGATGCCTCGATAACGCATCCGCAACTCTGTTAAACTTTCCCTGCCGATTTTGTATCTCAAAATCCAAGCCAAGCAATTTTACCAACCCCTTCTTTTGAATTTGAGTATGAATCTTCTGATCTAGTAGATGCTTCAGGCTCTCATGATCAGTGACTATTTTGAACGTCCTCCCTTCCAAATAGTGTCGCCACTTAGACACAGCCATTATCACCGCCAAGTACTCCTTTTCGTATGTGGAGAGATCCTGTTTTCATGGACATAAAGCCTGACTCAAATAAGCCAAAGGTCTGCCATTCTGCGAGAGCACCGCCCCTATCCCCAAATCACTCGCATCTGTCTCAAGAGTGAATGGTTGGGTGAAATCAGGGAGACCCAATACAGGGGCTTGCACCATTGCGTTCTTCAACACTTGAAAAGCTTGCTGGGCAGCAGCAGACCACCCGAAGTTGTCCTTCCTGAGCAAATCTGTTAATGGTTTAGCAATCAATCCATAGCCTTTCACGAATTTCCTGTAGTACCCTGTTAACCCCAAAAACCCACGCAATTCCTTCACTGATCTGGGAACTGGCCATCTGGTCATTGCTTCAATTTTGCTAGGATCCGTAGCCACCCCGTCTCGGCTTATGACATGTCCCAGGTAGTCCACCTGCTCCTGGCCAAAAGAACATTTTGACGGTTTGGCAAAAAGGGTGTTCTGTCTTAATATCTGTAGGGTGAGTCTAAGGTGTTCTAAATGGGATTCTTTGGTCGGGCTGTAGACTAAGATGTCGTCAAAGAAAACTAGTATGAACTTTCTCAAGTAAGGGCCAAAAATGTGGTTCATTAGGGATTGGAATGTTGCTGGGGCATTAGTTAGCCCAAAAGGCATGACAGTAAACTTATAGTGTCCTAGGTGAGTGCGAAAAGCAGTTTTATGTTGGTCTGGTGGGTGCATTCTGATTTGGTGATAGCCCGAAAGTAAGTCGAGCTTGGTGAAATATTTGGCCCCATTTAGTTCATCTAGAAAATCATCGATAACAGGAATAGGGAATTTGTCTTTGATGGTAAGGGAATTGAGCTGCCTATAGTCTACACAAAATCGCCAGGACCCATCTTTTTTTAGTACTAAGAGAACTGGGGAAGCAAATGGGCTACGGCTGGGTTGTATATACTGGGAGTTGAGCATCTCTTTACAGAGCCGGTCCATTTCAGTTTTCTGGGCTTGGGAATATCGGTAAGGACGCAGGTTTATAGGTTGGGAGTTTGGCTGAAGTGGGATGGTGTGGTCACAGAATCGGGCAGGGGCAAGGAAGAGGGTTTACCAAACACGTCAGCATATTCTTTTAACACAGGAGCAAGGAAAGATGGAACATTACCTGGAATAGCAGGCTCCACTGAGAGACTAAATATGTGACCAACCAAGGACGAGGTGGTTTTC